AAGTTCGTCTGTAGTCGAAAACTTTTCCTGGATTACTACATTTGTGCAGCCGACAGTCAGCGTTGACTTATCACCAAAAAATCTTTAACCTTGGCCATTAAAACCATTTTACAACTTATCAGTTGTTGAGGACAAAACCAGCTAGTTCGACCAACAACTCATTTTTCACCTTGGCCTCAAGACACTGCGCCGCACGCTGTCTTCGAAGGTCATCAACGGAAGAGTCCAAAAACGTTGATTTTACAACGTTTATAGGCGCAGCTGCTGGAAGAATTTTTTCGGTCATCCTTGTCGCCGACTTCCTTTCGAACGACAGCTTTGGTATGTTGTGTTTGCTTATGTAATTCAGCACGTCACTAATTAAAATTAATTAACTTTAATTTTTAAGTTAATTGTGTGTCATTACCTCTTAAGCAACGATCCATGAGGTCCAGTGCACGTAATATCGCTCAAGTTCAGGTCATATGAAATTGCCAAAAGACGTACCGACGGTCCACAAAGTCTGAAGTAAAGCAAAATTTACACAATAAAACGAAGTTCAGTTTAATTTAAAATTAAATTTGTGTCTTCGAGGAGTAGCATGAAGCTTTCAAATACAGACAAACCTTGTTTAGTTCTGCCAGGCCCAACTTAAAAGAAAGATTACAAAGGTGAAACAGGCCAATTTTCTATACAATCAGCTTACCTTGATTTGACTTCTTTGTGCACTGAGTTAGCGACGGAGCAAACCGAAATTCCATCGGCAGGGCCGTGACACAAAAGCCTCAGAAAGTTAGGTCGAAGTAAACCGGGGAAATAAGTGAATATGTCATGGATGACCATACTCTACCTACGACCTAAACATAAAAAGGAGCGAGAATATAAATCAAAAGCACATTCGTACAACTGCTCAGCAGATTAATGAAAAATTTTTTAAATTTACGTTTACACCCTGGTCTGATTTTCATTCAGCTATCAGGGAGGTGAAGGAAAATTTTATTAATAAAACGCACGCATCAGACAGCATGGCCGTATGTCTCGCACGCTTTAGCATGACCACGCCAAAGCACCATGCAATCTTGTTATTCGCAGGTCAGCGACCTGACATCCGCTTTTCGGCTGATTGTACCAAAGCACAGTGCGGTGAATTCTTCGTTCATAAGAATTAACAGTTAATAAGACAAATTTACACCGCGTGTCATGTTTGAGTTCGCGCTACAGCATACAAAGCAACCCAATAACCAAATACACTGCTGCCCCCCTGCGTTAAATACTATATTCCAGTTTCAGCAGGGTAACAAGCCAAAAAATATGTCACCCCGCTTAGTTCTATCTGTAAATAACTTATGAGAGAAGTCAGAAATACTGACAAGCACTTAACTTCTGACTTACTAAACTTTATGGCGTAATGCTTCCCGTCCTGCTCTTAGTAACCCCGGACATTTAACGGCATGCAGGATTCTTGTATTAGCAACTATAATAACGGACACATCTCCCATTATGATCAACACTAATGCCAGCAGCCACAAAGTCATTTGTGCTTTCGCACAAAATCGTAAACATGCATTCGTGTTAGCGTTTAAGATATCCAACTGCAAATTTCAGCAACAACGGCAGTAGAAAAATTTGCTACTTTCTATTAAAGAAACAAACGCATTAATTAAAATTTTAACACTAGGAAAAATTGACGCGTTTGAGCAGTAAAGAACGTGAAAATCAAATAAAACACGAAAAAGGAAAGACTATAACCGCGAAGCGTCGGTTTTCGATACGCTTTCATTATGAGGCGATCTTGACAAACTTTTTCATGAACCGAGAGTCAGTGCAGATCTCAGTTTCAATGCTATCAGCCAGGAGCGCCTTTTTTAAAGGCGGAGTTAACAGCCATGCGGCAAGCGTAGCGTGTAGTATTCTATTTTTTTGACGCTGATAATCATTTATCAACTTCGGAAGGAAGGAAGGTGAGTGACCCTGACTGGGGTTCCAACCCAGGACTTCTTAATTCGGCGTTTGACCCTCTATCGATTGAGCAACTCTAAGCTAACGCAACGCATAGCAGATTTCTAGTTTCAAAGAATAAATGGTTAAACAAAAGATTGAAATCCGTCGTAATCGAATACGGCTATTCTGGAGTCCGAGATCGACGTACTCTGCCACCACGCCAACAAAAATGGTGACCCAGTCGCTAGGGAGCCTTAAAATCATGCAGACATGTTGAGAAATTCCATCTGAGTTCAAAAAAATAGATCGCTATCAGTCCTTGAAACTACCATTAGGTTAAAGAGAATCAATATTACAACACGGAACTGCATTAAAACTTTAAAACTTTCCTTAACATTAGAAAAAAATTTGGGACTATTATCCGCATCTGTACGCATGAGACTTTCATACAACAAAATATTCTGAGAAAAATATAAGACCTATCAAGGGCGAAAAGAAGTATTACCATTTCTTTTCCACGAACAACCTCAGAGGCATTTATAAATGCATCACGCAGTTCTGCATGTCATCTCCACGACATTAATAGATTTTACAAAGCCTCACGTCAAAACGTTCAGATGGATGAAAAGTTTTTCTCTTTTAAACAAACTCTTCGCTGTTGCAAGTTAACTCAGTCAGTCAGTTTCAGTTATCGTTTATTCATTGAGATCGATGAGGTAAATGGTTCAGGCAGTGCCTCTAAAGTTTCCTACGTCGGCGCTTCAGCTTCACCAGAACATTACGCCCATGTGGAGTAGAAAGTATCGGTCATTCTTGGCGGTCAAAAGAATATTGGGCCGGCCGGTTTGGAAGGCAGCACTGCTTGTAGCAGGAGTCTATTTCGCCCTATTTTCAGAAAACATTCGCAAGACGTAACCAAAACCATCGCAACTGTATATTCTCAGACTGGATAAGAAACAGCTGTACACCACGGCTATCTCGGATCACTTCTCAGACTGCACTGCAGATGACGTCCAGACGCATGAGCCCAACGATTCATATCAGAATCCCATTTCCCTCACAGGTATGAGGGATCGAAGTTTTCAGCAGTACTGTCGTGGTGAGTAATACTTCTTCCGCATGTGACACAGCAGTACAGGCGATCGGTTCCTTAACGCTCGGAAATCAAGTTATGACCAACTCCTCCATTAAAGGCTACGTACAAGTGAAACAGTAAGGTGAAACTCCTCAGAAGATTAACCAATTTAAGTATAATCTTTTAATCATCTCCAGCGAAGGCATTATCCAGCAACTTTGATATGGGAGTTGGATTACCCTAACGTTGAATGCTTTTGGGCACCTGTCCAATATTAGCGCCGAGGAGTTACTCTTACCACGAAATTCCGCCTGCACCTACCTCTGTCACGTCAGTGTTATTGCACGACATTGATCAATAACTCTAATGAAGGAGTAGGAACTGCGTAGACAAGTGAGTCTTCAACGAATAATGATTGTTATATTGCAGGATCATGTTAAGAAATACTTTATACTCCTCAGGGCTACACCAGTTACTCCCGCCCGTGGACTGGGCTTCTTGTGTGAGAGCCGAAACACGACAGACATCGACCAGGAGACCAACATGTCACATGCAGGTAAAGGCATATCTACCTTGGAAGAAGAGAAGCGTTTTCTTTGTGAGATGCGGTAACCGATGTCTAATAACAAACATGGAAAACTTTGAAGAACTGCTGATAAAGCGGATATATTAAATGAAAGACGGGCGTTCTGATTATGCAAACTGCTTATGGTGATGATTTGTACAACTTCAACAGTGTCAATCTTCGGCAGAAGAACTGTGCCGGTACGCCCTCGAAGGGGTGCTAGAAGGTGACTTTTCGTAGTCTGCGTAAGTTCTTCAAGAGGTGCAAAGCCCATGGTAACACAGGCGACAACGAAGCCGGTTTAACATCCGATAACGACAGCAACATGAGAG